GCAGATTCAATTTGTAGTGATTCTCCTGTTTTCAGCCTCCTGAGTTTTGAGATTACAGGCATGCCCCAGTTTCCTGACTGCTTTGTTGAAGCAGCCACTTAAAGAACTGAACTAAGAGGCAGGCCTCCTCATTTGATTTCTCAGTGTGCCCCAGGGGGGACTGGGCCAGCACAGCATGCTGAGGATTGAACCCTGGTCCCTGCGTCTGCCTAAGCAGGTGCTTTAATCCACTGAGCTATCTTGCCAGCCCTGGACCAAAGAATAAAAACAAAGATACAACAGGTGCATGTCTGTGACCCCAGTACTCTGGCAGGTAGAGGTAGGGAAATTGCAAATTGAATTGTTATATTTTGGGTCTAGATGTCCGGGACAAAGCCTCATGCAGTCATAGGTGGGGCTTTTTCAGAGGTGGCTGAATCTAAAATGTGTGATTGGAATGCTGAGGTTAAGGGTGTGTGATCACAGAATCTGTCCACTGATTGGTTTGACATTGCCCTGATCCCTGTAGCTTAGATAGAGTATAACAAGGACACTAAGGCCCTTAGTTGCTTTTGCTACTTTGTGGGCGCCATAAATTTATCCTCTGAGATGCCCCTCTGCACGGACCATTCTGCCTCAGAGCCAGCCAACTACAGACTTGAATCTCTATAAACTGTGAGCTAAACATGAACTAAATAAACCTCTCCTCTCCTCAAAATATAAAAATAACCCTTTTTCCTTTTCAGGTATTGAGTATTTTGTCTCAGTAGCAAGAGGAAAGTTAGTAAAGGGCTGGCCAAATAGCTCAGCGGGGGGCCGGGGAGGTGGCTCTGTAGAATACGGGCTTGCCTAAGCGCTAGGGTCTGAGCTCAGGACCCGCTGAGATGGCAATTGAAACTGGGCATCGGCCGTGGTGCCGCATGCCTGTAATCCCAGCTCTTGGGAGGCTGTAAACAGGTGGATCACTACGAGTCCGATCTAGTAGTGAGACCCTGAACACCCTGTAGACTTTTCCACCCCCCCCCCAAAAAAAAGGAAAGTTACTAAGACACGAACCACCTTAACAGGACCGTATCCTCCAACATATAAATAAAAGCTGGGGATGTAGCCCAGTGCAGAGTCCCTGGGTTCAATCTTCAGCTTAGAAAGATACTGAACATCACACAGCATGAGGGGCACCTACAGTAGAGCAGGTGTGAAGGTCAGGGTGGGGGCAGTGCTATTTTACTCGGGGTGCGCAAGTGGTCTGACAGGTGTGTTGGATGTACAGCAGACAGTGGAAAAGGCAAATACAAAGGCCTGGTGGCCGGGACACGTTGGTGCTGGAGGTGCAGGCGAGGATGACTGTAACAGGGCATGCAGAGCGCAGCCAGGTTTTCAGAGCCGGATTTTCAGAGAAAACGCTGCTCCGCGCCCAGGTTAAGCACCAGACCGCGCCACACCCAACATGGCGACGCGCGGGGCCCGCTCGCCACCAGCGGAAGTACGTGTCAGCGGGCGCCGGAAGTGATGAGAAGCCCCGCCCCTTACGGGGTCTCTATTGAGCCGCGGACGCGCCGGCTTCGAGCATCCCTGGCGGGGCAGGTGAGGGGCCCTGGGGCTGCAGCTCCGGCGGCCTTGGCACAGCCGTCCTGTGACATGGCCAGCTCCGGAGAGGTATGGCATGGATCCCTTTGCGCTCTGCTGCTGCCTCAGCGGCCTGGCCCCCCCTCGATCCTTCTCATTCCGACCCGACCCCTCTCTCCTGGACCTTTCCTCTCGACCCTGCGGGTGCTCTTGGCCGCATCCTGGCCCGATCCCGCTGTGCTCCCAGGCCCTCGCCCTGTCTTCGATCCCGTTTTCAGCCCTACGTTCCTGATCTCCAGAGTGGGTCTCCCCCATCCGCCCTGTGAGTTTCAGGTTGCTCCGGGCCTCCTAGAGCTCTCTTCCCGGTGCCTGGGCTTGGTACACTGCCCCTCTGTGCCTGTCCCCACCTTCTTTTCTATCTCTGAGTGCTCAGTTTTAGTCCACTCCCCGCCCCTCTGGGGCCTGCTTATTGTACGACTTGGTGGAGGGGATGGAGGAAAAGCCATTTTACCCGAGAACTTGGGATTACCTTGCAAATCGTTCTCCAAATGGTGCACAAATCGGGGGACGACGGGGCAACCCATCACGTTCTGTCAGAGGGTGCATGGGGTTGTCTATGGCGGACAAGGACGTAGTGGAGATCTGCACCCTGACTAGTGGCTTCTTTCCTGTTGCTTCCTGCCTGCCTGTATGTGAACATGGTTTTATATCTGTCATCTTGCAGGGCTCAGAGCACTGAGCAAATGAGTCTTAGAAGCTTGCTTGGGTTCAAGCCCAGAGAAGTTCAAGGTTTTCTTCAATGGGTGGGGGTTAGGGTATATGGAAGATGGCTGGGATTTTACGACAGTTCCTCCCCATTTGAAGCGAATTTTGAATTTGATCCAGAAATGGCCCTAGTTTGTCCTTGATTGGCACTGAAGGGTATGTGGCCCAGCTGCAGGCTGATGGTGGGATGGAAGGGCTGGAATACTGCAGCTCCCTGAAGAAGAGGCCTGGGGCATCCTGTGTGTGTTGCCAGATTGCAGTAGGGTGTGGAGTGTGTGTGGGAGGGTCTGGTACCTTGGTTTTAGGGAGTGTTGCCTCAAAGACCCCCCTGGGGCTGGTGAGATGGCTCAGTGGTCTAAAGCACCTACTTAGAACTGGCTTAGCAAAGCACAGGGACCGCGGTTCAATCCCCCAGCACCACATGCCAGCCAGCCCCTCCCCCTATTGGGCTGAGCTGGCCACACACACACACACACACACGCACAAATAAAATAAATTAATTTTTAAAAAAAGACACCCCCACCCCCCACCCCCGTTGTTTGAAGCACGTGGATCACCTGCTAGCCAGGCCTGCCTTTTGTTGCATCGTGCTTGAGGAGGGAGACAGGTGTCTTGCTTGCCCTGAAGGAGATCAAGGTCCTTTCTTTTAAGATGGTCAAGTTTTAAAATTTACTTATTGAGCACTGGGCATGATGCCACATGTTTATAATCCCAGCACTTGGGAAACTGATAGAGGAAGATTGCTTGCTGTGTAGTTGAAACCAACCTGGGCTATAGAAGGAGTTCAAGGCCAGTTTGAATTACATAGTGAGACCCTGTGTCCCCCCATATATATCTTTTATTTATGTGAAATTTAAGTCACATATCACAAAACCCATGATTTCAGCACAAGGTCCTGAGTTCAATCGAGTCCTAGTACCCTGTCCCAAAATAAATAAAGTGTATAATTCCATGTTGTTTTGTTTTTGTTTTTGTTTTTTGGGGAGGGAGGAGAGGTGTTACTGAGCCTAAGGCCTTCTCACTGAGCTAAATCTCTATTCCTTTTTATTTATTTTTTCAGTGGTGAGGATTGCACTCTACCTATGAGTTACATCAGCTCTTTTTATTTTTAAATTTGAGCCAAGGTCTTGCTAAGTTGGCTAGGCAGTTCTCCAGTTTGCATTCTTCCAGTGTCAGCCTCCCTCAGCACTGGGATAGCACAGGTGTGTGCCACCAGGGCCAGTTCAAGATTGTGTAATGATCCCCACCATCTGATTTCAGAATCTTCCCCCAGCCTGCTGCCACCATCCTGAGCTCATCCCAGCCCTTTTCACTTTTTTTTTTTTTTTTTTTTTTTGGAGAGAAGGTATTGCTGAACTGCCAGGGCTGGGCCTGAATCTGTAATCTCAAGTACCCGAGCTTGTGAGTGCAGACCATCATCCTTGGCTGTTTTTGAGATGGGGACCTCACTTTGTTACCCAGGTTGCTCCTGAAGTTGTAGACTCACACAGTCCTCTTGGTTTCAGTCCAGGTAGCTGGGACTACAGGCATGGGCCACCATACCTGGCTTCATTTGTTCTTTCTACAAAAGGTAATAGAAACCCAAAGAATAAGAGAGACTACTGATTAAAGATCCTGTTCATTAAGCTAGTATTGTTAGCCATGTTGGAGGCACTTCCTGGTAGAAGGAGATATGGCAAGAGGTGAGGCAGCTGGAATCCTAAAGACTAGTTCTTCATTTGTGGCCCTACTTTTGCACTGAGGTAACACAGGGCCCAGAGAAGACTGCTGGTACTGGAGTGGGAAAGGAAAGCTTTGGGCTCAGAGGGTAAAGGGCCCCCTGGGGGGGTGTCAAAGTAGGGCATTCAGAGGGAGAGCTGGGGTTTTCTCGGCATCAAGCCCTTTTCAGTTCCTTTGAGCTACTCTGTCTGCCCAATTAGAGCCAGGGCCTTCATACTGAGTTACATCCCAGCCTCTCCCTTCCTGAAACAAGATTTCTCTAAGTTTCTAAATTGCCTAAGCTGAGTTCAAACTTGGGATCTTCTTGACTCAGACTCTCAGAGTGTTGGGATTACAGGTGTATGCTGCTACACCTGGGTGCGGAACCAGGGATTGAACTCAGGCCCTTGCGCTTGCCAGGGAAGCGCTTATTCCACTGAGCCATCTGCCCAACCTGGGTAGTTTCTTTAGTGCTTTTCTTTTTTTTTTCTTCCCAGATTTGATACATTATAGTTCTGAGCCAGATGTGTTCCAGCCACACTGTCAAAAGCAAATCCATGCACTCTGGGAGGCTGAGGATAGCTTGAGCCCAGGAGTATGAGACCAGCCTGGGGAGCATAACAAGATCCTTATCTCAAAAACATCGAGGACAACAAATCCCTGTTAGGAAAGATTGCAGTTGAGTCTGGGGCTGTGTGAGTCCTGGGGTAGTGGGGAGGAGGAGCTGGAGGAGAAGTGGGTTGTGTCTGGTGGATGCCTGGAGGGGCTCCCTGAGGAAGGATCTTTGGTTTGAAGAAACCAAGAAGTAGCAGTTTCCCTGTGCAACGGCTGGGGTAGGGGCCACTGGGTGCCAGGGGGACCGTCCAGAAAATGCCACTGGATGTGAGGAGACCAGAGAAGAGGGAGAGGGAATTCAAGTCATGCAGCTCTTGGGTCACACTTTATGATTTCAACTGTTTTATTTTTTGAGACAGGATCTTGCTATGCCTCAGCTTCCTGAGTGCTGGGATTCCATGCGTGTGCCCCCACGCCCAACTTCTTAGTCTGTGCAAGCTCACACATTAGGGAAAGGACAGCAAACGGGATCTCTTTCTGTTCCTCCAGTGCCAAGCTGCAGCAGTTGTCAAAGCATGATCCAGTTCTTCATCTGACGCCTCCCATCTGCATGGATTGTTCAGCACAGTGCAGGCATCTCTCCCCTCCACTTGGAGTCGTTTGTCCATCTGCCCTTCCTTCCGCCATCCCTCCCTCTCTCCCTCCTTCCTGCTCTTCCTTCTTCCAGCATTTCTCCCTTTCTTTGATGGTGCTGGGTATTGAAACTAGGGCTTCATGCGTGATAGACAAGTGCTTTAGAACTGCGTTGCACCCCTAGACTCTTTTATTTAATTTATTTATTTAATTTAATTTAATTTTTTTACTGCTGATTTCTATTGATTTATTGAAAGGATCGATTAATACTTTTTAAATTTTTTGACCAATTTTGCATGCTTATTTCTTTCCTTTTTCTTTTCAAAGTTTTATTGATAAACATAACAATGAGAGTTTCAAATCAAATCGAAAGTACAGTTTCAACAAATAATACACTGCATATATTCTTCTTAGTGGTTAATTGCTGTACAAGATGCAGACTTGTGATCCTACTTACAAACACCATTAGAAAAAATCATTCTATTCATTAATAGAATGCAACTATATATCTATCCCAACCACTTTGAATACACAGATACGAAATGGACATTCATAGTTATACCCCAATTTTTTTTAAGTTCCGTTGTTGAATATTATAGGTGTGTAAACTCAGCAAAATATTCTAAAAGAGTCCAGTAGACCATAATAGCATTGGGTTTTCTGTTTAACTGGCAATGTCAGAAATTATTGACCTGAGTCCCCCACAGCTCAACATAACAACATGGCTTTACTTCCTATATTTCGTCTTCATACTTTTCTACTGGATGGTTAAGACCAAGGTAAAGCAGGACCTGTGCAACAAGAGTTGTAGCTTTTTGGTCTGAGAAGGTCAGTGAAATGCCCTCAGGATTTGTCCTGAGATCCTGTACCTCAGATTGTAGAACCTTTGTCAGTGTCAGCCATGTGGATGAGTCACAGCCAATGCTTGGCCAATGTGCTCTCTGTGAAAGCCTGAGAGAGTGTCTTCTCCCCATGTGACTCTCCTTAGGCACACTCTACATCATCGATCACTTTCCTCTTTGGCCCCATAATCTTCTTGATCAGAAAATTTGGGACACTACCAAGGTACATGACGTTATAGTACAAGTTCTCATATGTCCTGAGTCTTAATTGACCTTAGAAGGCTAGGGCCAAAAAGTTGGCTTTCCTTGTAGCCCTCCTTTTTCTCTAATTTTGGTCTGCAAACTTAGGTTGTTAACCATCCAGTAGACTCTTTTAAAGAAACTATCTTTTTTTTTTTGTGTGTGTGTGTTTTTTAGGGAAGGGTCTACAGGGTGTTCAGGGTCTCACTACTAGATTGGACTCATAGTGATCCATCTGTTTACAGCCTCCCAAAATCAGGGATTACAGGTGCACACCACCACACCCAGTCTCAATCGCTGCCTAAGTGCGCCCCAGGGGTGGAGCCGGCCTGGGGAATCAAGCCCCTGGCCCCTGCA